GAGACCGCCAGCCCCACTGCAGGTCCCGGTCCCTGACATTTCCCTGGCATCGAGGGCTGGGATCAGAGATTCCCAGCTGCACTCACTGAACAGTGATTTTTTTTTCTTCCCCTCCCTGAATTCTTTAGCTGCCAAACGGGGGGGAAAAATCAAGAGCTGCGCTTTTAAACCAAGTTACCCTTGCTGGTGTTCAGGGTAAAAATAGAGGCGGCCGCTTGGACCGGTTTGGCCCTGAGTCCAGGCTTCCCGCGAGCCGGGCTGGAGCTGCGCATTCGGGAGTGATCCCTGGAAACTGCCAGCAGGTGCTGCTCAAGGTACGGTGGCAGGCTGAGAAGGGACAGGGCCTGGGTGCAGGGAGTCTCCGCGGGAGGGGCAGGAAGTGAAAGAGAAACCAACGCAGTTCAGAGCTGCGCTGACCAGCGCACGCCCTGGGCCCTGGAATTCAGCAGGGAAACGCTGATCGTCAGCTCAGAGTATTCCACAGAAGCTGTTTTAACCTGCCTGCTTCCTCCAACACCCCCAACTTGATTTCCATGGAGAGAGAGGAGGCTTTCCCAGTGTAGTTCAGCTCTGAGTTTGGGGGGTCCAGCTATGTCATGTCACAGCTGTTAGACTGGCTTAGCAGGTGGGCTTTTTCGTGGTGTCAAAGGCCGACAAGGGTCTCAGAGTGACCCGTGTGAGGTGGGTGGACTCTGCAATCAGGGTCCTGAACATTTCCATGTCACACGTGCTTAGGAAACTACCAGGATGCCCAGAAATAACATTTCTTTGTGGATACTGAGTTTTGACACTGAGATTATAGATCCCATTTTATAGATGGAAACACTGAGGCTTGGGTTTAAATAATGAGGGAGCCTCCGAGCTGGGGTCTGATCCAGGCACGTTTCTGTGCCACCCACACTGCATTCGGGTGCAAGTGGTACTTGCCCTGAAATCATGTGTGAGGCAGCAGTTGGGTTTAGATGCCAGAGGTTCTTATCAAACAGTGTGGTAGTGCTCTCTTCCAAGGGTGGGCACGGCATGGACCTATTCCGATTTCCTTTGTCTTTGCCACTCATACTCCTTTCTTCCCCTGTAACTTCATTTCCTACTTCGGTTCTCTTACGCAGTTCTTAGAAGGCTCCTCTCCCCTCCTCCCCCACATAGAGAGAGCACCCACACTTTGTAGTCAAGATACCCTTGCACAGACAGCTCCTGGTGTACTAAAGGAGCCTTCCCCCACTACACATCAGGAGACCAGAGCCTCTATAGTTTGCTTGAGGGCACAGGGAAAAGTTTATTTTATGCATGTTAAATCCGGCACACAAAACAACATATCTGGTCATATGGCTTTCATTAGCTCCCAATTTTGCACATTTTATCCAACTTGTCATGAGAACCTGGCCAGTGCTTCAGCTTTACTCCTTCCTGAGAACAACAGGCCCATCTTCACTGTACTTATCGGAGTGTTCCTCTCCTCTGTGTTATCTCCCTGCCAGTGTGATCCCCCCCCAAAAAATCCCCAAACTAACTCTACTTCTTTTTATTAAACTCACGTTTATAATGTTTATAAATTATAGGACTTGAAGTTCTAGACTAAAATATATATATGTATATATACATATGTATTGTGTGTGTTTGTTGTTTTGTTTTTGCTAGTGAGGATAAGACTCTAACGATCTAGGCAGGCAGGGTACTTAGGAAGTCACTTGTAAAGAAGGACCATTTCCCAAGTCTGGGGTGATAAATGATGTATGAAGTAGGCATTCAATTTCAAGGTGTAAATTAATAGTGTGAGTCAAGGCAGGGAGACCATCACCACATGGTCATACAGATTTTCCTGTGTTTTTCTGCAAGAAAATAGCTTATTTTAATCATAATTATAAAGTTAGACTTCCTATAAAGAACACTATGAATTTTCTTTGCTATGGAAAAAGTAAAGTGCTTTGCAAATAGAGGCAACTTTATGAAGTAACAGATGTTTTATGTACAGACATAAAACTGGCACATATAACAAGAAGTGTATGTGCCAGTAGTATAAAGTCAAAGCTGGACACTCTTGGAGATGTGTGTGCCTGTATTTGATTCTCTTATTTATTTTTTTTGTAAAGGGTGTACTATTCCTAGCCATAGGCTTTACTGGCTCAGTACGTCACCCAGGTAGTGTCTCAGAAGCCAAGAGGGATTTCCATTAGATAATGAATTATGAAATGTCTCACCCTGGAAAAACTAGTCATCTGCTGATGTCATGCTGATTCTAACCAATCCTAAACAAAGCCCAACTCCCCCCCCCTTTAAGAGGTACCAATGTCTGAGTGTACAACTAAGTACTACAGTATAAAACTTCACAGTGCCAATACCATGAAGAGGAACTCAGACAGCTCTGCCCTCATGATACAAGAGCCGGCTGGCAAAACAGAGGGAACCAAAAAGGTAATGCTTTTAAATTCTTGCTTATGAACTTTCTACATGTTAAAAGTCACTATGGCTAAGAGGACTTTTACAACTTTTTGGCACCTCCATAGGCATTGTAATTTGTATAATTTTCTATTGTGCAGGCAGGTTAATACTGTTTTTAATAGTCCTAGAGCATGCAAATAGATTATGTGTTTATACAACCCACTCAGCACACATATACATGTACATATGCCAAAGAGAAAGCTATTTTTAAGAGTTCCATTTGCAAACAGTAAATTCAGGGAACACACACATATTCACATGCAGAGAGAATCCAAACATTGATAAGTTGCTCTTATCCAAATGCTACTATTAGGATTCTCCAGTTGTTTAGAGTCATTAAAATTTTAGCTCTATGTTCGTCTGTCTTGTAAAACTTAACTGCATCACAAAATACTCCGGGTTCTGTATCCGTAATTCCAAATAGGTGGGTGACGTTATTATAATACAAAGATATTTTATTGAGCTTTGTAATACCCCTACTTTGAATGCCCCTACTTCCCTCATCTTTTTGACATTCTTTCCTTTATTAAAAAACAAACAAAAGCAAAACCAAGAGTTTTAGGTAATATGGACAGTCTTATCAAAATCAGCAGAGTCCTCCTACCCTTGCAAAGGAGTCAGAGGGCTAGTAAGCAAGAAAGTCTTGTGCATTGTTGCTTTTGAAAAAGGTATCATTTGTATGGTTTAGAAAAGCATTGTTACCTTCCAAAACTGGAAGTTTAGCTTATTGTCATGATTTTATCAACCTCGTCTCCTTGTATGTAGACCTCATGCTTGTAGTCCTGACACCTATTACCTCTGTCCTCCTGACCTGTTTGCTAGACGAGAATGCTCTGAATATGGTAAGTGTCAGGTAGAAACAGAGTGCATCTACAGGAACTAAGAGGGCTTATGTGTAGAGAAGGAACCGAGAGGGAAGGACCGCTTTAACAGATGGGTGCTTTAAAGATACTTCTGCAAGATAAAAGCAATAAGACAGAAAATGAAAAGGGGGTGTGCAGAACTTAAAAAAAGTCTCGGAAAGGCATTGTTTTAAAATGCACATTTGTCTTGTTCTGTGAGTGCTATAATCCTTGATGATTTCAGTTCTGCTGTTACTTTGAAGAGAAAGGAAGCAGCCAAGCAGGCTGCCATGAATGCTATGGGTAATACTAGGGGTGGGGGCAGAAAAACAAAAAAAACTAGCACATGACAGAGAAAAATAATTTGTCGATATATTTTAGAGATTATTTCCTCATAGGCCAGTTATTCACACCATAAGAGTACACTCTTTTCATGAAAGAATGTGAACAAGGCCAAATGAATTCTGTGCTTTATCTCTGAAGCCAGAAGAAGGGGCCGTAGGCTACAATTTGTAAATATATGGATGCAGGGCAGCAGAGAGAGAGAGAGAGAGAGAGAGAGAGAGAGAGAGAGAGAGAGAGAGAGAGAGAGAGAGAGAGAGAGAGAGAGAGAGAGACGGAGAGGGAGAGGGAGGGAGAGAGAGAGAGAGACATGGAGAGGGAGAGAGAGAGGGAGGGAGGAGAGAGAGAGAGAGAGAGAGAGAGAGAGAGAGAGAGAGAGAGAGAGAGAGAGAGAGAGAGAGAGAGAGAGAAGTGAGTACCTAGTACCTTCTCCGATTAGGGCATATAAAATGCTGTTTGCCCAAGGGAGCTTCCAATGGCCTGCTGTGGTGCCCAGTTGGCAAAAGCAGAGTGTATTATATGACCCCAGACAAAAGTTCTGCTGCGCTCCAGGTCCCATTGGATCGCCTGCTGGCATGAGGACCCTGGACATTTAAATATGAATGAATGGCAGAAAGGAATGGTTCTGGGTTCTGTCAGGCAGAACAACCAGCTGCCCCTCTGCCCCAGGTCCAGTCCCCTGACCTGTATGATCTACTGAGGGCTTCCCTCAGCGCCACATCAAGGCCAGGTGCATGCTTACTCCAGGGTAGTGCAAGGCCCTGGGAGAGGACTTTGGGGGCACACTTTCCAATCAAGTTATCTCAGTGAATGGAGACAGTGCATTCAGTTTGTTTGGGTTTTCCCTTCCAAAGAAGGAAGGCGAAACGGACTGAGCAGAGAAAGATGAAAAAAAGGAGGGGAAAAAAGTAGAAGAAAAAGAAAGAAACCCTTAGATCAAAAGTGAACAGCATTAAGAGCATTTTTTTGCAGAAAGGGCTAAAGAATCACCCCCACCTCCAGAGAATGGTAGGATTTGAAGAGAGGTGTGTGTGAGGGAGCAAGGAGCAGAAGGAAAGCAGCCTGTCAGAAAGGGCTGTCCCTCCTCTCCAGTCTCTGCCTTACTCACACACAGCAGCCCTCCCTCTCCCATTCACTCACTCACTTAGGGCCAATCGGTGTTCTCTCTCTCTCTCTCTCTCTCTCTCTCTCTCTCTCTCTCTCTCTCTCTCTCTCTCTCTCTCTCTCTCTCTTCTCCTCCCCCTTCCTCTCTCCCTCCCCTCCCTTGCTCTCCCTCTCTTTCTCCCCCTTTTCCTCCGTCTTTTCTCCCCCTCTCTCCTTTCTCCCTGTCTCTCTCCCTCCCATCCTCTCTCAGTCTCTGTCTCCCCCCCCACCCTGTCTCTTCCTTCCTCCCTCCCTCTCTCCCTCCCTCTCTCTCTCCCTCCCTCCTTCCTTCTCTTTTACTCGGAGACAGTCAGAACTCTCCTCCCTGACAGCCACAAACCTACAGCATTCAGAGAGGGAACCTGCAAACAAAACTTCACAGAAAACTTTTTGCTCTTGTTCCAGAGAATTTGCTGAAGAGGAGAAGGAAAAAAAAAAGTCCAAAAGAACCTGTGCGTGAGGGGGGAGGAAAAGCAGGGCCTTTTGAAGGCAACCACACGACTTTTGCTGCCAGGATGCCCTTGCTTTGGCTGAGAGGATTTCTGTTGGCAAGTTGCTGGATTATAGTGAGGAGTTCCCCCACCCCAGGATCCGAGGGGCACGGCGCAGCCCCGGACTGCCCGTCCTGTGCGCTGGCCACCCTTCCGAAGGATGGACCTAACTCTCAGCCAGAGATGGTAGAGGCTGTCAAGAAACACATCTTAAACATGCTGCACTTAAAGAAGAGACCCGATGTCACCCAGCCGGTGCCCAAGGCGGCGCTTCTCAACGCGATCAGAAAGCTTCATGTGGGTAAAGTGGGGGAGAACGGGTATGTGGAGATAGAGGACGACATTGGCAGGAGGGCCGAAATGAATGAACTCATGGAGCAGACCTCGGAGATCATCACCTTTGCCGAGTCAGGTGGGTGCTGGCGTTGGGGGTGGGGGCGGGGGCAGGGAAATGTATTTCGTTGACAGTCCTAGCAGGAACTTCTTTCCCTCCCGCTAGAGACTGCCCGGGAAGGTTATTAGTTATTAGGTGATGGTGGCGCCGGAGAGGCAGAGGAGGGGGAGAAGACTTCTTAGCCAAGGAGCCCTGCCCCGCGATGGCTAGCTTACACTTGCTAAATAAACTCAGCGGTTACCCGGAGAGGAAGCTCCCGGGCCCGTCTGGAGCTGGAAGGCAGTCTGCATGGGGCTCCCTGGCTGCCCTGCCTAGGAAGCTAGATCTGAAAGCAGGGCATTTGGGGGCTTGGGGGTGCAGAGGCAGCATCTGGACCCCATCCAAAGTTTTTCTGGGGTAGGAGTGAGAGTGGCTGGGGGCCGGGTGCAAAGGCACGGATGAAGCCACTATCTGAAAACAAATCTCCTTTAAATGTCTGATCCCGGGCCGCATCGGAGCCAGACTTAGGCATATTTATGAGTGACAATCATTTTCACCTCTGGAAAGCCTGACTCTGTGCACAACCCACCCAAGACAGCAAAGAGCAACTCCCAGGGTAGTTAGTGTCGAATTAGTTATGACTTTTGGAACAGTGACATATTTTGCTTTTTGGAATAAAAACAAAATAAAAACCCAAAAGCGACAGCATCGACAAAAAGCCAAAGAACCTCACCCCCCCACCCCAACCCAGTTTTATTTTTTGTAAAGTTACTAAGAACTTTTTGCCAAGGAATGCAACCTTGATAATGTGCTCTCAGACATGATGAGCTACTCAATCCTTCAAGAGGAAGAACTTGAATGGATTTTAATCAGTGGCTCAGGACCACGCTAAACCTGTTGCTGTGTAGAAAATACCTGTCTAAAGCTGAGGCCCTACACTTGGAACTGGCTGTTCATAGCACCAGGAGGGCACAGATCTTACTGCAAGTCTGTGGAAGTTGGCATACAGATGGGTTAATAATACCTTTTCACTTACATGGTAAATGCCAGGCTAAGGAATAGGATCCCTTGCCAAAGCCATTTGAAAGGAATGCCATTGTTTTGTTTGGTATAGCATATGGCTAGTAAAGTATGTGCAGGGACTCCCAGCATTTTGTTTAAAAGTTTGCTGCAGCAGTATAAACAATTAAGGCAACACTCAAAATTTCCAATCCTGAAAACCTGTTGACTCAGATGTTCTGTTTTCAAGAAAGCCATGCAAGACCTGGGCATCCTTGTCAGGGAGGGGAGGGTAGGAGCTCATAGGCTGCTGACTTGGTGGCTTCCTCCTTGTAAGACTCCTTGCTACCCTAGCAGTTTCCTAGAGAGGTTAGCTCTGTCCATGTCCTACTTTCTTACCTACCAGTTCCTTTTTGATACAGTTCCCCAAACCTTAGTCACTGTGACTTTATTTTCTGAACCTAACTGAGGAAAAACACAGGTTGGACCTTTCAGGAAGCCACTTAATTTTCTTAAGCTTTCGTAGTTGGAAGGTGAAAGATAATCTTTATAACATTGGCTGGTGTATGGGGATGGGATCTGTGCTTCAGAAGACTGGTCCTGGGCCTCATGTGTTCTTATATGCAGCCTTCACCTATGCTGGCCTCTATTGCAGTTTCTACTAACTTGCTTTTAACTGTATCATGTGACTTAAGTATACATATGACTTCCACCATGTTTAACTTCACAGTGGTTGCCAGCACTCTATCCTTCCCTCTGACTTTCTGGGCTTGTATAGAAAATTCATCGCTTGGCAGTTAGAGATTTGGCAAAGAATTGGGCCATTTATTCTCTTTCTTACTTATGGCCTTCTCAATGCTAATGACTCTCAGTTGTATAGGATCTTGTCATTTTTGCTTCTCTGTTGTTCAGTTTGAGAGAAAATGAGCCACTATTTACGATGGTGATTCACTGGACTCACACGTTGACTGAGTGTAAAGTTTGTAAGTGGAAACTCCTTCTAGTCCAGGAACATGGTGTATTTATTGCAGTTGCTTATTTTCTCTTGTGAGAAGTAGCACACATTGACTTCAAGATGATTTAATGTAATTTCACAGATGTAAGTAAGGATCATAGTATAGTCAACCTACTCTTTAAGTAGTGTAGAGTATGACATAAGCAGTTTACTTATGCAGGGAACATATTTATCATCTGATTAATTAGAGAAAATATATGAAAATGAACTGCAAAGATCTGCCTTGTTGCTTTTGGAATAATTCTACTTTTCTATGTAGTATATTTACATATTTCAAGAATAGAAAAGGGCATGTGCTTTTTTTTCTTTTCTTTGTAACCATTTGTACACCATAGAGTGCAGTTGATGAGTGTCACCTGTAAGCACCCACAGATGTGCTTTTCAATATCAAGATTCCAGTGTGGGATGTATGTTTTACTTTGTTCTCTTCACTCAAGATGGTTAGATAAAGTTGACAAAAGCATGAAAATAAAGAGACTGCAAACACTACAGTACCTTGACCTTTTAACTGAACTTGTCCTACTGTGCTCAAGTGGGGAGTATTTCAACTTTGTGAAGTGGTTTTGGATTGCATTTACTAAGCAGCAGTCACTTACTCCCAAGCTCTCTGAAATCTGCTTCAATAAATAAAATTGATTTTATGTTCATAGATGTCACCCAAGAGTGCTTCCCAAAGTTAGTATATGGCTGGCCCCATGACTGGCCCCCTCTCAATGCTCCCTTTTCTTCAGAGGAATGGCAGTACAGAAGAGTAAGGTCAATCTAACTGTGATTTAAATTGTCAACGAGATTGAGATCAGAGGACTTCTTGGCTGATGTATTGTATTTTATCTACTTTTGCTTAGTAGTTGCTCAGTGAATGTACAGTAGCAGCCTACCATTGAGTTTGCATAGATTCTGCCATAGTTAGCTGTTGAGTTTCACAATTAGCTTACTGGAGTATGGATAGAGAAACAAAAATAGGTGATGGCTGAATAAGTAGATACTGCCCAGAGGCTGTCTAAAGTAGCATACCTCTCCCCTCCTGGAGGACACCAGGGACAGAAGATCTGAGTTAGAGATGAGCTCACCTTTAGACTACCTCGCCACACCCCAAGAAAGACATCTAAAAATGGAATAAACTCCCACAGTTCCATCCCCGCCCTTCTTTTGACCTGCCTTGTGAATTACACCTCACTGAGTCCCTCTGAACCTTTAAGGTTTCACACTTATCTGAATTTTGGAAAAGATTGGCCACAAGAGGGCGCATCCCTAAACCTTCATCTCTATATCAACTAATCTGGAAAAGGCAGTTTTATGCCCACTTTAAGCCCCAGCCTGTAGAGCCCTAATCTGGAAGATTACCAGTTACTTCCTCCCAGCAATCCCATTTTCCAGAAAGACTAAGATTTAATGCACTGGGAGGTGCACGACTACCTGTAATACAAGAAGTGAGACAGAACCACAGCAATAGGAATGCTGTGGTCCACGTGAACATTCCACAGCTCCATCGGCCGCGGAGAAGTGATACATTTCAAAAACAAACAAAGCAGGGCTTGGGATGTGCCTGAATCATCAGCCACACCGATGTGAGCACAGTCTCTCCCTAATACGGTCGCCTGGGTTTTACAAGAACATCTTCCATCTCCCCTGATTCTGCTCCCTAGTTTGCCTGCCTTATCAATGCTTTTCAGGAGGGACAAATGACAAGTGACTTCCAACAGGGAGAAAAAAAAGACTGTTTATTTAACGCCTGGTAGGAACATGGAGTTCAGCTGCTGAGGACTCGTTTGTTTGCCAGCTGAGAGTGTGGAGAGAAACCATGGGGGGAGGATGCGCAAAGAGATGACCACTGTGTGTGTGTGTGTGTGTGTGTGTGTGTGTGTGTGTGTGTGTGTGTGTGTTTCTCGTGTGGAGTGGGTGTACTGTAATGTGGACGAGGAGATGTCAGGGGAGAGAGATGCAGTTTTCACAGGGAGAGAGAAGGACTACCTTCCCACTTTTCATGAAAATACTTATTTGTCTTGGCCTTCTGCTATATCAAACGAGCATGATCTCTTTGCTTTAGCTCAGAATTCCTCATGCTTGACTGGTTCCTAGGTTTAAAAGTGTAAAAGTTTTGATGAACTCTGGAAAAACTCTCTGGGGCTGAATCTTGAGAAAAAATTTTCTATTTATATTATAAAGTAAGACTCCTTTTTTCCCCCAAATATTTAACCCTTTTCATTGTTATTTAAATGGAAGAGGCAATGGATGATAAGTGACTCAGGCCTGAAGATTTAGAGTAATTCAGAAATGAATCCCAATGAGAGGTTAGACAGGATAATTCATACACACAAACTAATATGCCTGCTGTAGGCAAGATTCTCTATAGTAGGACAGGGGAAAAATAACCTTTCAGACCTCACTCACTGCCTTCTGCAGAAACCTCTGGAAGCTATCCAGAGTCCGACTTAGTGCCTCAGAGAACACACAGGCTGTAATGCTAGCCCTTTATGTTCCTGACTGTGCTGTATCTAGGCACAGGGAAACTGGATGAAGAATAGAAAATTAAAGTAACATATTTTACAGCAGAGCTGTGCTCCCCTCATGGTGAATTTTAAATGTGCACTGTGAATGGCAAGGCTTTCCACAATAACAGAGATGTAATTATTACCTCTTTGAAAAGGACAGTATATTTTATCCAGGATGCTGGTGAGGAAAACTAGGCTAAACTAAGCTGAAACTTTATGTGTATATTGATTATTTAACTGGAAATTATCATACACTCACAAATCTGATAGCTGGACTTTTGTGTATGTAGCATATTAATGTTAATGTTGGGGAAGGGATCCAGGAACCTGCTTCTTTAAGCCCTGGCATACCTTTGTGATCAAGCTAGTGAAAAATCCTGAAAGCAAAAGAGAATTGCTACAAACACTCTTCCTTTAGGCTGCCATAGGCTTTCTTTCTGTCCAGCCCTCTCACCAGGCAACGTTTCAAAGGTATTCCCTATAAGGTACACAATCTATCCCTACTGAATGATGTGCTCATTTTCTTCTGCTTTGCTGTGTGTCCACCAAGCTCACCCACATGGGTTTGCGTGGGACTTTCTTAGTGAATTACTCAGACAGAGCAGGCTGTGATACAAGCCTTGCTCACAAGCCTCGGGACAGAAAATAGCACAGAGAAGGGAAAGAACATTACCAGGGAGCAGCTAATGAAAGGTTAGGGAGCCAGCAGCTCTATCCGGGGAGCTGCGGCCTGGTGGAGGAACCCAGCACACACCTGTACACATGAACATCATACTTGCTCACGCAGCATTATGGGAAGGTGTTTATTTCAGGCTTTTACAGCAGCAGGTATTTAAGTCAGGCCAGAAATGGATGGAGAGTTGGTCCTAAACATCTCAGCTTTAGATATCTTTCTTCCCTTTTCCAAATCATTACATATTCAGCTTGGGGCCTCCTGGAAGCATCACTGCAATATAGCAATTTCTCTCAGGTAATAGAAATCAAGGGAACATAGCATTTAATAGTTATATTTTCCACCCTTATGTAACTAACGTGAGAGCTGTAATATATTTCTGAAACCAGCAGGTCTGATAAACGGTCAATCCACTTCAGCTCCTATCCATCTTACTCTCCCCACACCCTTCTGCAATGAGAGCTAAGGTAAAAGGAAAAAAATGCACTGCTTAATAAGTCAGAATACAATAGAACTTGTAAAATGTACCTGCGCATGAGGTAGACGGAGGAAGACTTGACTTTCTCCTCCCCCTGTCCTCCTGGGCATACGGCAACAGCATTTTCATGAAATTGGATCTCAGTTTTATTTTTTCCCTGATAAAATATCATGCAATACACAAATAGCAGTTCCAGAAATGGACACCAGGAGAAGGAGGGGACAGGCATGCCAATTAGTAGGGGAAAATCCAAATGTCAGAAATATGGGGGAGAGATGAAGCAAGCTAGAGTAGAAACAAATACAGGAGCAGAGGCTTTCGGCTGGGTAATTAAACTGCAGCAGAAATCAGCACCCTTGCCTCCCCGTGACACACAGGCAATGGCTTGCAGTTAATTGTCAGCCAAGACCAGCCTGAAAGTCGTTTGATGATGACTCTCTGAGCCTAGTGTAGCAGCACCTGACAGACTAAGCCCCCTCTAATGAGCACTCTCTTTGTACGATCCTCTTGCAGGAACACTAAATCATTTGCTTCCAAGTACAGCCGCTTGTGGAGAAGGGGTGGAGCTACCTCATGTGTTAGAAACTTGTTCCCACGAAATGAGGGGCCATCCTGCAGGCTGTGAAACAGGAGCACATGGCCTCAGCCTTGCTGGCCATGATAAAAAGCAATTCATATGCATAGTTGCTTGTTCTAGCTTGCCAGTTAATCCTCTCTTGTCCCCTTCCCCAGCATCTGCAGTCAGCCAGGGACAGCTTATGGGAATCCCAGTGTAAGCAGGTCAGCACTGCTGTCGGACTTCCTTACCCTCATACCTATGCCAAGTGTGCAGGTGTGGACAGGGACAGATCAGAGTTTGGGAGAAGGCTGCCTTACTTGAGACCTGGTGAACTTTGGTAGCCAGGATCTGTTTCCCAGGGAAAGACAGCAGCCCTTTCTGGCTTCTCTAATTTTGCTGCTACTTTTATTCTCTCTGTCTGTGGACTGACATCCTACGGAGCTCAGAATTTCAGGAAGGGTTCTGCTTGGAGGCAGGAAGGACAACGGTAGGTAGTTAGTTAACATTTTCCATAGGAATAGCAGATGTCTTCCTGCAGTGGAGAAACATGTGCTCTTACAGGCCCCCTGCACCCTACCCCTCCTTAACCCCAACCTTTCTGGACCCCTCTACCCTTGTGTGCCCTAAGGCCCTCATGATCTGCTGCAATTGCTATCTTATTTGCTGCTTCCTAGAGCCTTTTACTTTCTTATAGAAATAAACAACTTCAAACCCACTTAACCTTAACAAAGGGTGATATAGGATTCATTTTAAAAACTGTCACCATGCTTCCCTTTCTCACTGCTCCTGGCTCTTATATGCTATGGAATCAGGTTCTATTATTTATTTGTTTTGACTCCTAACAGAAATGAGAAGTCACTCAGAGGAATGCCTCTGCTACCCCCATCTTCCTGGCAAACTTTTAGGCAGATGCCAGGGATGCTCTCCATATCTATAGTCAGTGCTCCCTAGCCCTTACCTTTGTGAATTTATTAGTTGTGGTCATAGTGTACTGTGGTTTAGATTGAGATTGGAATATACAGTGTACCATGCACAGAAAAGCTTGCCTTCTGTTGTAGTGCACTTGAGACTGTGCTGGAATTTATGGTACCATAAACATCTAAAAGTCTTCACTGATGAGTATAGCTGGATTTCTGTTAGCTGTGGAAATCCAGTTAGGGAGATCCTCCTAGGGAGCTGTGATGTCAAAGATGAACCACTTGAAGGTTTTTCCCAGACTGTGCATGTGATCCATGTACAGCAGACAGCTACAAGCAGGGACATGATCAGGTAAAAGAGAGCATGCTTTTATATGCCTCCCAATGGTGATGTGGAAGCGAAGGGAAAAATATACTCAATCAAAAAATTCTAGTCTGGACACGTGTTTCTTATTATAAATGATACTGCATAATAAATCTACAAGTGTCTGTGAAAAGAGAAGGAAATAGCAAATCTACATCTACATAGATCTGAGTGGTTTCTGGGATGTCTTATGCTTTAAAAGTAGATAGAAAGTGAAGTATATTTTTGGTATTTATTTGTTATATTCTAAATGAACAGAGGCAGCAGTAAGTGATTCAGAAATAGGAGTTGTTTTCTTAATTTAAGGCAACTCAATGCTAGTATGTATCCATTTGTTAATTAGTAATCTGGTAATTACCAACCCTTGCTGCATACTATACCATGACAGTGAATAACACAGACATGACCTAATCTGGTTTCCTAAACTAGACTGGTCTGAGGGTGGTAGTAGGTGAGGAGAAGGAAGGCAGTGGAAAGTGGCAGCCAGTCAGCTTAACAGAGGCATTGTTCTGGCTGGCCTAGGATGTTGCAGAAACAACCAGTGTCACTACTATAGCTAGGTTGAGAGTATAGAATTCACAAGTGGTTAAATAGCTGGACCACGGGGACATGTACTTACGTGAGATGCACAGTCCAAAGTCACAGGGACGTTTGTTGGTTAGTGAAAACAAAAGGTCATAACGTAAGGGACAGCTATGATCAGACCCACTTTTAAGGAAGATTTCTTTAACTGCTTAATGGAGAAATGACTTGAGAGAGGCCTGACTCAAAGCTTTGGAGGGCATTTGATGAAAACTCTGATACTGTAACTGGGCACAGATTTACAGACAAATTATATCAGGTGGTGACAGGAAGAAGACATTGTCTCAGAGTCTGGCCCACACTGACCCACACAGATGTAGGGGACAGGTTTGGGGTTTTTGTGGGAAATAATGCCACAACTTGCTAAGGCTTCCAGGGCTTTTCGTTCATGTGATTTCATTACATCCTTTCAAACCTGTGATAGCCTGGGTCAAATGTCATCACATTATTCTCACTTTGTAGATTAAGCTAAAATGCAGGAGTGAATGAAATAAATGCAGGAGCCCAGGCTTCCTGCATCGCAGAGCAAGGCCTACACATTTGTCTCTGTTAGCAGTGTCTCCCTTATGGTAGTTATCTACGCAAGTGAAGCATGGTCACAGGCAACAAATAAAGAAATATTGTGCTCCAATAAAACTGCATTTTACAGGCACTAAAGTTCACATTTCAGGTATGTTTCCATGTAAAAAAATACTATTTTTCTTAAGTCATTTCAAAACTGTAAAACCCTTTTCAAATCAGTGACCATATGGAAACAGATTTATCTCATGTGTGGGCTGTAAATTGCTGACTGAGCACTGTGCTAGGTAGTGGGTAACAAAATCCTTGTTGCCTAGAGTTAGCGATAGATGTAGAATTTGCAATTAACATGTGTTCTTTTCTTCTCCTCTCTCTTGTGTCATTTTATCTTCAGGCACAGCCAGGAAGACACTGCATTTTGAGATTTCCAAGGAAGGCAGTGACCTATCAGTAGTGGAGCGTGCAGAAATCTGGCTCTTCTTGAAAGTCCCTAAGGCCAACAGGACCAGGACCAAAGTCACCATCCGTCTGTTTCAGCAGCAGAAGCACCCACAGGGCAGCTTGGACATGGGGGATGAGGCAGAGGAAATGGGCTTAAAGGGGGAGAGGAGTGAACTGTTGCTATCAGAGAAAGTGGTCGATGCTCGGAAGAGTACCTGGCACATCTTTCCAGTGTCTAGCAGCATCCAGCGCCTGCTGGACCAGGGAAAGAGTTCCCTGGATGTGCGGATTGCTTGTGAGCAGTGCCAGGAGAGTGGTGCCAGCCTCGTGCTCCTGGGCAAGAAGAAGAAGAAAGAAGTGGATGGAGATGGGAAGAAGAAAGAGGGAAGTGATGGAGCAGCCGAAGAGGAAAAGGAACAATCACACAGACCTTTCCTCATGCTGCAGGCTAGGCAGTCCGAAGACCATCCTCACCGCAGGCGCAGGAGGGGCTTGGAGTGTGATGGCAAGGTCAACATCTGCTGTAAGAAACAGTTCTTTGTCAGCTTCAAGGACATTGGCTGGAATGACTGGATCATTGCTCCCTCTGGCTATCATGCCAACTATTGTGAGGGTGAGTGCCCAAGCCACATAGCAGGCACCTCTGGGTCCTCACTCTCCTTTCACTCAACAGTCATCAACCACTACCGCATGAGGGGTCATAGCCCCTTTGCCAACCTTAAGTCATGTTGTGTGCCCACCAAGCTGAGACCCATGTCCATGCTATATTATGATGATGGTCAAAACATCATCAAAAAGGACATTCAGAACATGATTGTGGAGGAATGTGGCTGCTCATAGAGTTGCCAGCTCCCAGAGGATATGGATCTAGAAAGTCCAGAGAAGACAGTGGCAAAATGAAGAAAAATATAAGATATCTGAATTAAACAAAACAACCAGAAAAATAGAAATAAAAAAACCCACAAAAACAAAAACTAAACTGAGAACAAACCTAATGAAACAGATGAAGGAAGTTGTGGAAAAAATATCCTAAGCCAGGGCTCAGAGATGAAGCAGTGAAGGAAACAGGGATTGGGAGGAAAAGAGAGAATGGTGTACCCTTCATTTCTTCCAAAACCAAACTGATTGTATCAGTTTTATCCAAACTGGGTATTGTCCTCTCTCCTGCCTCTTGTGGTTCCCTTTTGAGCCTGGAAGTCTACTTGTCTATTCTGCAGTAATATGGGCTAGCACAACCCAAATAACGTCTAGAAAGCCATGAGTTTTAAAGGGCCAGTCCCACCCAGTTACCCAGGTCATAAGTATGTCTATGTGACACTATCTCTGTGTATTTTAGCTGCAGGCATGTGTGTGTGAGTGCACACACACATGCACAGGCACACACACAGATACAAACACACACAGACACACACACACACACACACAGAGGTATTTCCATACACCACATGCATACACATACTGGTAAAAGAAGAATTCTGTGCCGGTGGTCACATTTTCTTTTCTGTACCACTTATGCCACAAGGCAAAATCAACATAAAACATTGAACAAGAACGGAAAGAGTGAAAGATCAAGGAAAAAGAATACCAAGTTACATTTCGTTAAGGTGCTTATGATCTTAGAACTATGCAACCTAATAGGTTTGAAACTGTTTACCTGAAAGAGGACAAAAAGAGAGACTTTTTTGTATTGGAAGTAACCTGATTAATTTTTATTTTCTTCAAGGAGAGATACTTGAAAGGAATATGTTTGTCCATCTGTTGGATTCAAACATTTCTATATTTTGTAAATGTTGTTTTTTTTATCGTTTACTATTTGCACTACAATGGTGTTTGACCTGTCTAATCCTTATTTAACAAGTATTTTCTTTGGGTGGGGGTGGGGGTGGGGTTTAAGAGCTGCACTTCATGTGAGCTATAAAAGAACTGCTACAGCACACAAAATAGCTATTTTTATTATTATAATTATAATTATTATTATTATTTTGTACCTTAAAAATAGACACATACACCAAAGACATTTGTGTGAGCCTTTAAACAGTCTGTCTGTGGTTGGTATTGTTCACCATCAACGAGTCAGGGTCGAGATTTAAGGTCGAGTTAGGTGGGTTGTGTTCAGGCTTAAGAGACCTGAGAGGTTTGGGTTTTGACTCTTTTTACATCCATGAAACAGGACATTTCATACTGGATGTACAGTAGTGTACACTGTTGGATTATCAAGTTCAAGTTCATGAGACTACATGCTTGTATGTGTATATATACATTGCCTGTGCATATGCATACCTGTGTGTATATATACATGTATTGTACCATGTCCATACACATTTTAAGCACTTCAGGCTGTCATTTTTTAAATGTTCTTAAAACAATGAATGTTTGTGTGCAAAACACAGTATTTTTAAGAAGGATAAGTGATAGATTTTTTTCTTGCTTTTACTCTGTATTAGGTGGGTACATTTCAAACATTTGGATGGGAAAAAGCCTGAAAATCCCAGTGAGTATCCAGTGAGGCCCTCTTTAAATGTACAAGATGAAATCCCCCCTCTTTCTTACCCCTGCTCCCTACAAGTTATCCCCTGTGGGGAAAAAGAATGCTAATACAAATGGTGGGCTGAGGTTTTTTTTTCAACTTATATTTATTATTTATTGGAATCAATCTTAAATCAGAAACTTTTTTGGAAAAATATCTCTAGGCTAGAATAAAAGTTCTTTTTTTGAACAGTGTCATTACTACTTAAATAATAAAATAAGCAGGAAAGTATTTAAGACAGTGGGAGTTAAGGGAGAGAACACTTAGGAGCCAGGAATTAGGATAGTTGTACAAGTCTTTAATATTTTATTTTACAGCCAAAAATCTTGATGTGTAAGTTTGTGTTTTTCAGAGGCAAAACTGAAAAGATTGTCTTATAAATTTCAAAATACATGCTTAAACCCATGTTTCTAATTTAGTCCAGTGTTTTGCTTGTCTAACACAGCTAATAAATTATTCATTTATGTATTTAAAATGCAGAGCCTTATTTTTACGGACTTGTTTGAAGCTTGAAAACTTTATAAAAATGAAAAGCTCTAATTGAGAAAAAACTATATTCCTCAGTATTTTATAAAACATTGAAACTTTTAGCATTAAGTCAGTCCACAGATTAAAGTTCTTGTAGGAAAATGAAATGCGAGAAATTAAATCTTACAAAAGCTGGTTTAACTCCTAAAAAAAAAACCTAAGCCAATATATATCATATATTATATATACATCATCACATTAGGCTGTATGTAGGCAATCTACTTTAGTCTTGTTACTGGACAAACATACTTACTGTGTTCCTGGGGCCCTCCCTGTCTTATGCAGGAAATGCATGTACTGCATAACAAATGAATTATAATTAAGGACCATTGACCTTGGAGATCTTGCATGTGGGGACAGATGGTGGGGGAGGAAAACTGAGGGGAAGTAGATGGCCAAGTTCAACTTTGCCAATTTATATGAAAATTTTTAGGGCCCTCTGAACTGTTTCCTTGGTACTGAAACTAATACTGGGACCTACAGAAATAGTATGGAGAGGTCTACTGTGCCATATCAGAGACAATCTAGACCATGGGAAGAGCAGGATTTATGAAACTACTAATTATAGTTCTCATTCATCTGAGATGAATTTGTAATTCTTTAAGGTCCTTTAAATTTTAGATGTATTGGGGCTAAGCTTGGGTTTAATTAGTAACCATAGTAATTAAATCTTGAAAAAAATGATCTCCACAGGACAGTGTATTAATTGGGGATCAAGTTACTTGGTTGTCAATACTAATAAACCATATCTGAGCTCATCAAATTTGTATGGCCTTGCAATAGAATTTAAATTGGTAATATATTAGATATGATTTTGCTATAGTAAGCACTCTCAGAAGAAACAAAGTCTCATGGACAACTGGTCCTTTTCGTAGCTGCTTAGTCCAAAATCAAAAAGCTTTTACTGTCTAACATCTTAGTTTTTTTTGTGGTGTGTTTTACCTAGCATCAGAGTGGCTCTATCTTGTCTCCTCACTTTCTCTAGGATGATTGTTAAGTAACTGCCCACATGAATTTCAGAAGTTATGAAGAGCATCTGTGCTCAATATCTCCTTAAAAATTAAATACATGTAAGCTTAATTGACATCTCCCCACCCCAAAAGTAAGACAAATTCCAGCACAATTTTCTTGTCCTAGAAGACCAGCCAATTCCATGTTCATTTAAGATTGATTCCACACTCCATTTTCAAGGAGAGGCCTTGCATTTTTATAAAGGCAGAATAAGCAAAACTATTTCACATTTGTGGGACTGAACTCAAGAGATGACTGAAAACAACAACAACAACAACAAAGAAATAAAAACCATGCCTCAGTTGTAGTAAACACATTTGAATGATTGTGGTCACTTGAAAAATATGATTTCCTGTGGGCCTTTCGGCAGTTTCCCTTTTCAATATAGAGAAAGACTTAATCACCCCAAAGCCTGCGTAAGTGAAACTTGTAGATGTGGGCAAGAGGTTTGGGGATGAGCACTGTATGTGTTTAAATTAAATTGTGTAACATTCAGAAGCTATTGGATGGCTCAGAGATAATGAATGCAAAGATGCTGTTCACATCTTCAAGAGCAGAATCACATGTCTCAGCTATATTATTATTTATTTTATGCATAAAGTGAATCATTTCTTCTGTATTAATTTTCAGTGGGTTTTACCCTCTATTTAAATGCTTTGAAAAACAGTGCATTGACAATGGGTTGATATTTTTCTTTAAAAGAGAAATATAATAATGAAAGCCAAGATAATCTGAAACCTGTTTTGTTCTAAAACTTTTTATGTTATGTGGTTGATGTTTGTTTGTTTTTATTTTTATTTTGTGAGTTCTTTTGCATACTATATGCAATTCTTTAACCAATGTCTGTTTGGCTAATGTAATTAAAGTTGTTAATTTATATGAGTGCATTTCAACTATGTCAATGGTTTCTTAATATTTATTTTGTAGAAGTACTGGTAATTTTTTATTTACAATATGTTTAAAGAGATAACAGTTCGATATGTTTTCATGTGTTTATAGCAGAAGTTATTTATTTCTATTCCATTCCAGCGGATATTCTGGTGTTTGCGAGGCATGCAGTCAATATTTTGTACAGTTAGTAGGCAGTATTCAGCAATGCCTGATAGCTTCTTTGGCCTTATGTTAAATAAAAAGACCTGTTTGGGATGTATTCTTTATTTTTGTTATTTGTCTACTTGTTTTGCAAGATCAACTGTCATGCATATCACTACACATTTCCTAGGTGGTAATTTTATTTCTAGTGTAATTTTTCAGAGATAATAAATGGGCTAATTATGGGATGGTGTGCAAACTATTGACTGAGAGAAGTCAAGTAGAGGACTATCTATCTATATTGCCTTAGTAGAACCTAACACTAGGCTATGGTATTTATCTTGCATTTATTTTATTATTTTTTCTTCTCCAACTCTAATGTCAATAATTTATAAAGCAGATAATCTTTACCATTCTTACCACTCTTTTTCTGTTTTCTTTCCTTTCTTTTTTGCCTAGCACAATTCAAGGCAGAGAACAGTATGCATGTGAAAGAAACAAATTTCATTTTAGTACCAGAACAAACAAAAGCAAGTTGTGTCCAAATGTAAACCCAGGGATTAGTTAATAATTTAATCTTTCCTTCTATAGTTTCCATCTGGTTTGGTATCCAAACTTGAGAGTGTTTATCACATCATTTTGTCCTAAAAAATTTAATTTCTGTAGGTGGGATTTAAAAAAAAACAACATAAAGCAACATGTGGGATTAATGTGTTTATTTCAGTTTACAATTTTCGGGTAAAGTCCATCATTGTGAGGAAGTCAAGACAGAACTTCAAATGGCTAGTCACATTACATTCTGTCAAGAGCAGGCAAAAAACAAAAAAACAAAAACAAAAAACCATGTATGTGCTCAGCTGCTTGTTTGTATCCAGTTCAGTTTTCCAGCCTTACACAGTTTAGGAGCACGAGGCCACCCCTCCCCAGAATGGCCTAGGAAGACAAAAAAAAAAATAAATAAATGAAAAAAATCCAATGACTTATTAATGAATTAGCATTGTGAATTTTATATAGATGCTATCTTAATCTAGAGAAAAACAATTGAAGTTTAAAAAGAAATATTGGTAATTTGCAAACACACACATTAGGGAAGACAGAATGTGTTGTCATTTTACACCCAAACCCATGTCCATTGTGGTTTCAGCTTTTGTCAGAAAACAATTTTGTTAGGAGGCACTGTCAGTTTGGCATAGAATATTGCCTAGATTCCTTCTTCAGTTGAAAGAACTGCTATTTCTGCGTGACTGAAGCTCTGAGTGTTCTCTTTGGCCTGTGAAAAGGAAGGGTTAGTTCCAGAGTCTCTATGACGCCCTCTCTTGCTTTCCTTAATTGTCATGCAATTAGTGACTACAGTAAGAAGAACAGAAAAAGTGAATTGTTTGCCCACTAGCCAAGAACCACGGAGCAGTTTCAAGACTGTTTGGAAATGTTCAATTGCCTCTTTCTGTGATGTCTAATTTCATAAAAGCTTGTGTTCCAGAGAGTTTATATTCATCAAGTACACACCAGAGAAATATTTTTCTTATAGAATACATGGCAGCTAAGATCTAGAGGTGGCTGGGGAAATATTAGACCTACTGACTGAATACACATGATGAAGAGCCCCCTTTTTGGTTCCCTCAGGAAGGAGTTGGATGAAGTGTTGGTCACTGTTCAGTCTCTGTTAGAAAGGAACAGAAAAGCCACACCCAGCCAGAGCTACTTTGTTGCTGTATTTCTTCCTGTCATCGTGCTGGTCTGCCCATATCATTGTGATGTGGGGCACACAATG